TAAACATACAAAGGCCCGCCCACTTCTAAGCACTAGAGAAATTGTTTGATGTAAACTGAAGTGCAATTTGAAATATCCTTACTTGAGTTTTTTTTTTTAACTTTACAGTCCATTCTGGTTACAAAACGGTGTTTGGTTTGGTAGTTTAATTGTATACGTTATGTTACATTACAAGGCAAAAGTAGCTAATTCATGTTGATTAAATAAATGAGTCCATTACTTGAGGCTTCAGAAGTAAAATTTTCCCCAATTATAAGTTGATTGATTATAATATACCACTGGATTGTCCTGGTTTTGATGGCTTAACTAATCATTATTAACCAACAGCATGTAGTAATTTTTGTTTGTTGGAAAATTTTGTATTTAATGGTAACACAGTGTTTTGTACATTTGTATATTGTTCAAACTAATTAAATGGAAGGGGGGAAACTTGTTAGTTGACATTTAGCACTTCTGTTGTGACTGATGGAGCCATCTGAACAGATCTGAACCCCACAAAACTATAAACATAACATTTTATAATAGTTCAGTTTGGATGTTGTTGCTGTATTTTTTTTGTGTAAGTTGTGTAATTCTTGAAGAAAGTTGTCTTCTGGGTTTAGGCACCGTGTATTCTTCGTTTTGGCCAAAACGAAGAATACACGGTGCCTAAACCCAGAAGACAACTTTCTTCATTGTCATCGCCGTGAAAACCTCAAAACTTACATTGTGTAATTCTTATTATACAAAAAAGTCTTCAGAAAAGTAAAATAGCCGTTCTCAGTGATTATTAGTTTAACTATGCATACAAAGCCATCTTGTTACTCATTAAGAAATTCAGACATTGCTATGATCACTGGAAAGGAAACTAACCAAAATAACTAGTTTTGGTGAGAGATAGTTGTCAAAAAGATAACTAAAAGCTACCAGAAATTGTTACAATTGTGACAGAGTTCACACCAAGAAGAGCAGAAATATGTGCACAGATCAGAAACTGGTCTGTGAAATGAACATGCTGATGAAAGTTATGACATTGATGAGTAATAATATTCTGAGTTGTTGAACTTTTGTCTGAATTCACACAAAATGTTATTATGGAATAGTGATTTATACTCTGACATGAATAAATTTTGGAATGGTTTTATCTAGTATAAAATAAAAATATTGTAATTCTTAAATGAAATAAAGTAAGTAGAACAGTATTTCCAGAGTCACAGAATCTAAATAATATTAATTTTTTCAAAATGAAGTTTTTTGTGATTTATTTTATGACGATTTCAATATCTGGACCATATAGCGTGCTAAGATGATTGATAAATGATGAATCAGAAAGGATTTGAAAGGAAGTGGTCATAGGCTAATTGGGGTGGTATCTTGGCATTTGCTTACAAGAACTGAGGAAAACCATGAGAATCCTCAATCGGGGAAACTCGTGTTCAGTCAGGGTCCAAACCGAGGACTTCCTGAATAGAAGTCTAGACCTTCACCCCTACATCAACTTGTTCATTGTGACTAGTGCTTTTAACCTGGTGTTTAAATATACAGTACATATGTACTCCATGTGACCAATTATGCGATGGCGATCACAAAGAGTTAGGTTACAATTATTGTAAATGCTGGCTCTGTGGAATAGTCATTTGCTAGATGCTTCTTCCTTTGTTGCCATCTTCTAAATTCTGATAAATGTTAGAAAAAGGAATAATATCTGAGAGGCATTATGCTATACTTTTTTAAATCTCTAGGAATTACAACAACAACAACAACAATTTTTGGAAACAGTTCTTCTTCTCTTCATGTATGCTGACATAACCTTAGAAACTATCACTCTCTATACACCTAATACTGTGGCAGTTTTTATCACAGGTGCCGCAGCTAAACATGCACCAGCAATCTGTCCTCTTTCAAAATTATACAAGTTTCCCATTTTACAACTCTTTACCATGGACTGTCACTCAGTGCACTTGCTGATACACTTACACAAACACTACAGAATCTAAGCAAACAGAAGAAGAACATTCAGTGTTGCCAATTGAAGTTCTTTCAAGGTAGCCAGTACAAAAAATTCTGTTCCTCAATTTCTTAGTGTTTCCATTATTTTGTACATACACCCACACCCGCACACATGTGTGCTCACTGCTCACTTTGGAACTGACGATGGAGGCAACATACACCTTTAAAACATCAGCCGACACCTACGTGCTATGAGGACCCAAGAGCAGAATCAACATCAACAAATGCCATGCCATAGCATAGGCAGTTAGTTGCTGGTTTCCCACTGTGATGGCCTAGGTTCAATCCCAGGCCAGGTCATGTGGGATTTGTGGTGGACAGAATGGCACTGGAACAGGTTTTCTCTCAGTACTTTGGTTTCCCCTGCCAGTTTTCATTCCACCAACTGCTCCACATTCATTAATCATCCTGTCATCAATACTGTACAGTCCCATTACTGCCAATATCAGTGCAGTTGCATCATACGTGTGTTTAACTTGTGTGAATTTAACCATACACATTTCCCCCCCCCCATCAAATCAAAGAATAAAAATTTAAATAGCATGGGCAATTCTGCGCACCTTTCCACTCGGGGAGCATAAACCCACACTCTGACCCACTGCCCACATGTTGAAGTGTATGTATTTTTTATACTACATGGCCCCAAAACTCAAGCCAGCTACTTCACATGCTGCACAACTGAAGAAACAGTGATCTATCCTAATTCTGCAGGAAAAACTGGCTATGTTCGGCTTACTTTATCAGTCTCAAATGGTGTGTGTAAATATGGCTGCAACCTCATATACATACATATTACAGGATATATGCATAAAAAAAGCACTTACTTTACAGCTTATTTAAGGGATTTTCAAGGGTTATTCTCACTATATGTGATTTTGAATTTATACACTATCTTTAAAACATAGCCCTGTATGAGATGTGAGTCCACTGCATACAGCCAACTTAAAAAAATCAACAGTGAACCATCATGATGGCCTACAATGAGTAATTACTTTTGTCATGTCTGAAAGTGAATTGAACATTCTGTATTGAACTTCTATTTCTTTACATATAAAGCTTATGTAGTTTGTGCACACTTGACATTCAGATCTCCACATACACGGTGTGTCCAGGATCCATTAGGACTCATTTTTTTAAATTTTGCCCTGCAATGAATTCTGTTGGCGAGTTGTACCATTAAGATTCTTGAAGTTTCAGCTGTGGCTGTGTATAATTTCAAAGCACAAGCATCGTTGCATCATGTGTTCTGACCTTGAATGTAACAATACTGTTCTGATGCTTATCAGAAAATGGCGGTTGAACAGATAGCCAACATAAAATTTTGTTTGAAGTTAGGCAAAACAGCTGGAGAAGCATACAAAACGATGAAAAGTGTGTATGGTAGTGACTGTCGCTCAAACATTTTTCGATGGTATGCTGTATTTCGTGACAGCAGGGAGGACATTGAAGATGCTCCATGTGCATCAGACAGATGTGTTTCTGCAAGACTCATCGAGCAGCTCTTGGGAATACCAAAAAGTACTGTGCATCAAATTTTGACTGAGGGTTTGGGCAAATGGAAGGTCTGTGCGCGGTTTGTACCGCATGCGCTGTCAGGCGATTAAAAACATGCCAGAGCGGAACACTGCAAAGACATGTTACGGTCAGCCCAATGTGATACAAAATTTACAAAATCGATTGTTACTGGTGATGAGACATGGTGTTTTCAATATGAGCTTTCACAAAAGTGGCAGAGTGCAGCGTGGTTGAGCCCAAAGAAGCCAAAACTAAAGAAAGTGCACATGCAAAAGATCCGAGTAAAGACACTGCTATTCGTTTTCTTCAGTTCCATAGAAATCATTCACAAGGAATTTCTGCCAGGTCAAACAGTGAATTCTGATTATCTCGGAGTCCTCAATCGTTTGTGGGTGAGAATTTTTTTAATTCGGCCTGGATATCGAGAGCAAGGTTCCTGGTCGCTCCTCCACAACAGTGCCCCACCCCACAAATCGAAGATCGTGTGTGATTTTTTGGCCAGAAAAGGGATCACAGTCCTTGATCATCCTCCATATTCACCAGATTTGGCTCCAGCTGATTTCTGGTTGTTCCCAAAAGTTAAGTTGGCGATGAAAGGATACTGTCATGACACCATCCAGGACATCCAAAGGGAATGTCTTGCAGTTTTAAATGTGATTCCACAAAAGGAGTTCAGTGACTGTTTTAAAAAATTTTCAATCGATTCCAGCCATGTATTGATTCAAAAGGAGACTATTTTGAATAAAAAGAGTGAGATTTTGAAAATAATTCACGTCTTGTATTAACATAACCTGGACACACTGTGTATATTGAACAATATAGCAGATTCATTAATTATAACAGTTAACATAAGACATAACATGAAATGGTTTAGATATAAAATGTCTGTTAAAACTTGTTAAAAACTGGGGAGGTTGGCTCAAGACTTATATTCAAGAAGTGCCTATTTTGAATTTTGGCTGGAACACCAGCTATCCTTTTCTTATGTTTCTCATTAGTCCCTGTGGGCAGATGTTGGGATAGTTCCCCTAATTGGGTTATCACCACTTCCTTACACACAGCTTCCAATTCATTATTCACATGTCATCCTAACACTCTACATGACGTAGTCTGTGATACTGACAGTGTTAGATTCTAAAGAGTTTTGATAATGGTATGTAACGCTCTGGATTACTGGGTTTTAAACTTTGTCATCTGGTATTCCAAAGAATGAAATGTTTCAGAAACAGACCAAATTTGTGAAACGTTAAGGTTTTTAGAATACAGGATGATGGTCAAAGTCCAAGAACCCAGTAATCCCAACTGTCAGTATTGTTAAATCAGCCATAAATAAATAAATAAATAAGCAATTTAAGTAAAACTTTTCAAAACTATTTTCCCTTTCTCTTCTAAATCTTGTGATGTCTGTCAGTCTCTCTCATTTCAGTTTGGTTCTCCTAGAAACCCCATGATCCGCTATTACTCCTTGGTCTCCAAATGCTTATGTTGAATTACAGGGTCTGACCAGGGCATGGGTTTGATAGCACAGAACCAGTACACATTCCGACCCATGCCAGCACCTGGTCAACTTGTGGTGAAGCCAGATCTTGGGCCTGCGGTAATATACAAGCCTGTGACACGTCCTCCTCTAGCAGGCCCATATGCCTTCTCACGCATCCCCACTCCTGTATGGGACAGGCCTCACGTCTTCCTTATGCATGATATTGCTTCTACCTGGCTTTTCACCAATCTGTCTTCAGGGTATGGTGATGTTTTTAATGCACAGATAAAGTATAATTTATTGTCTCATCTTGCACATATCTTTTGGCTGTCAGAGCTTTATTTCTTAAGATTATATTGTAATACAGATCAGTCAATATCAGTGCTGAAATTAGAAATAAAAGTGACCAGAATTCTTCTGATCACAGGCATTTCTAGATCTTATATACGAGTGGGGCAGTGGAATGTGGCTGTTTTCAAAGTGCCATGGTACCTGAGTGAATGCAATATCAAGGAGGCTTCTATTTCTAAATATTCCCCATTTGATGCAATTGCTGCTGACAGTATGGTTATGCATGAGGACAGGGAACTGGTGGGTGGCATAAAGTGTGTTCATTGTTACAACACTTGACTGAATGCAAGTCAGCAGTGCAGGTTCAAAGAAATTTAAAGCCATGAGTTTCATGTCAAATATATCACATGATGAGGAAAGTATTTAAAAATGTTACTTTTAAGAAACAAATATGGTCTAATAAATTGGGTTATACTATTGCTTTCCTGATCAATTTGTTTTATTTTTATTGAATCTGATCCCCCTCTCAGTAGAGCTCTGAAATCCATCACATTCCACTGTGGCACTCCTTATGTACAATAGACTCAATTATCCATATGCTATTTATCTGCTCTGCAGATTATCAGAAACACTGTGTTGCTGATTGCAGCTTCCCATAATGATGTGTTGCCATTACATTTGTCAGTGATGTTTTACAGTAATTTGCAATAGGAAGTACTTCATCTCATCTCATTGCAATTTTGTAATTTATTATTTTACTGTGTTCCACGCTGGGCTGCTACAGCTACTGGAAACATTTGTCTGGCTATTTATTGACCAGTAAGTGACAGTTAAGTGGTTTTCCAGATTATTGGATTATCCATTGCTTTTAATTATCCATGCTCCTTTCCCTCTCCAGTACCACAGATAATGGAGAGTTCATCATAATAATAGAATGATAGGTAGCAGCTGGGATAGCTCAGTCAGTATGGAAACTGGGCTATGGGCTTGATGACTGGGGGATTGGGGTCTGATTGCTGGCAGAGGTAGAGTTTGTCTTCTTCCCAATGCTCACGCTAGTTCTGGGGTTCATCCAGTCTCTATCCAGCGAGTACTGGAGGCTCTTTCCCCAGGGCCAAAAGGGCCAAGCTGTGAAACCATCTACTCACTTCCATCTAATACCAAGGTAAAGAATCCTTTCCCGTTACACATCTTCATGGTATGTGCTTAATTAAGAAGAGGGACAGTAGGTACGGTAAATAAGCAAAATATACAAATGCTTGTACTTTCTGCAGCATTAATCACAAAAAAGAAATATATGTAATATGTAAAATTATGTTCATAATAAAAAACTCTTCAATTCACAGACTTTTCCATTATGAAATTTTATTAATATAAACTTTTATAATGAAGCACATATTCTTGGTTTGGGGTCTGAATACAGGGTTGCTCATCTGAAATCCCTTGCTGACCGCTCAGTTCACCTTATGTTCTTATCTGTCATCATCTTTAGAAGAGTATGCTGTTTTTTAAGAGAATTAATATTTTTGGTACTTTCTATAACATAATAAATTCTGCAATGTCTATAGCATAATAAGTTTTCAGTGATTATATGTTTGGTTTTGGCCAGTAAAATTGGTTAAACTTTATTGTTTGAATCCTGTTGCATATCATATATAGCAGGCATGTCCAACACATTGATCACAATCAACTGGTCGATCTCATAGGCCTATAAGGACATTATACATGAAAAGCATGTAAATTCACTTGTAATATAATATGATTATATTCAGATTTTGAAGGGAAAATACATATTAGTCATTCCTATTTTTCTGTTCTTGATGAACAAGGTACGTCTGTACTTTCAATGTATGTTGCTTTTACAACAAACATCATGTGTCGTGTTATTTTTACCAATATTTTTGTTTAAAGCAAGGTATGACGATAGGAGAGGCTGCTAGATCACTGGCAGTTTTGACACTAAAAAGTTGATCACAACCTGTTTGAAGTTGGACATGCCTGATATATAGTATTAGTATACAGCCTTCAACACAAATTCTTAGTATATAACCAGTGTTATTGTATTGTCATTCATTTATCATGTACATTTGCTACATGTTCCGATCCAGCTGGATCATCATCAGGCAATTTTTCATGAAATGAACTCTTTGTTATTGAATTCTGTTTCTATGTATTTCTAATGTGGATCCATGTTAGTAATCATTAATATTAATTTCATTATATTTTGGGGTCATGTCACCTGGCCTATGGATGGCTCTCTCTTTGTTCACAATATTGAGGACCCCCCCCTTTTTTAATTCTGGAAACTGCTGAACTTATGCTGAAAGCCAAGGTCACTCAGGGACTCTTTAGAACTTTCCTGAAGGGTGACCATGCCTATAAAGTAGTTGTAAAGCCACATGAGAGCTCATTTCAGTTCAGTGTAATGTAGAGGAGATAAACAGTTAATGAGGAAAGCAGATGAGTGAATTGTGAGTTAGAGTGGTCAGTTGGCTTTCAGTTCAGTTCAGTGACAGGAGAGAAGAGGAAAGAAGAGCCAAACACAGCAAATGAGCAATGGCATTGCAGTGAAATAATAAATGAACAAAAAACTGGCCTTAAGAGTACAGTTGGTTACAGATGGTAGGATGATAACTGCCCAGAAGATCAATAAACATTACAGTATTGTGACTTATTATGACTTATAAGTCTTGAATGTGTTCAGTAACATCATCATCCTTAATTAAGCACCATGCCATGAATATGTGCAGGGACTGAATGTAAAACTGTTATGACTGTCACTCAGTAGAGATGAGTTGCCACCTTCACAACCTAACCACTTTATCCCCAGAGGAAGAGCCCCTGGTACAAATTGAAATGGAGGGTGGATATGCTATGGAGCTGGTCTCAGTGATTAGAAGAGAACAGTTCCTCCTCTGTCCGGTCTTGTAGCTTAGTTGCTATATAGACTGAGTAATAAATGTACCTCAGTTACCAGTTAATGATATTCATAAACAGGTGATGTCACCTTGTTAATGAACACTGCTTAAATAGTAAATTTTGATAGTTGCTATTATATAAAATCGTCCCATCACAGTGCCTGTGTGGTCAAAGGCATGAACTGTCTTTGCCCGCTCGAACACTGGGATTTTGGGTTTGAATCCCACTTGAGACATGGATGTCTGTGTGCGTTTATTCTGTGTTTGTGTTGCTCTGTGTTCAGGTAGCGACCTTGCGATGGGCTGACCACCATCCAAGGAGTCCTACCAACTGTGTATGGATTAAGAAAGTGAAAAAGCAAGCCAAGGTTCGCAAGGACTGTAGAGCCATAGATAGATATTTCATAAATTCAGTTGTCTGCTTGCTGGAATGATGATAGTGGTTTTCTGTCACTTGGTCCAGCAAAGAAACAGAGATTGTATACAGTTGGTTACTATATTTTAAATTTTAAAAATAGAATACTTCCATTTATGATTTTTATTATTTTGATTATTTTCTTAATAAGTAAATATTTTGTGCATACATTGAAGAACTGTTCAATAGAGGTCATTGTTACCAAAGCATTGTTTACATTGAATTTGATGATAACCTTTAGTGCAACTAGTATATTAGTCAATAAATATCATGTCCAGCTTGTTTTCAGCCATTTGTGATGATCTTCAAGGGTATCCAGACAGTTATTAAAGGAAACTTCACACATTAGCTTTATGTAAACTGTTTAAAATTTGTTCGCAGATGTATGCATAAAATAAATTGACATTTACTGTCAGAATAACACAGGATGATGGTGAAAATGAAGTATGAAAGTAGAGACATTCACATATCATGTATGTAGATGTTCTGTGATGTCTTTTGAATCCTCGGTAGAGACATTTGTGTTTTGGTGGTGTTACCATTGTCAGTAAACATTTCATACAGACACTGAAGAACTGTATTTTCAGAATATATTTGTTATGTTTCAGGTTTGATGGAAAAGCAACAATTCGAAAATTTGCTCCGGACACCATTACCTCATGGGTTATTTCTGGATTCTCTGTCGACCCTTTGTTTGGCCTTGGACTTTCTGAAGCACCAAGAAAGGTTTGGGATGAGACCCACTCTTTTATTTACCATCTCAAGTAAATATATGTTCTACAATTTCCTAATTTTATGATGTGAGTTTTGTTCCCAACAGCTTCGAGTGTTTCGACCATTCTTTGTGTCTCTGGACCTGCCATATTCAGTTATCCGCGATGAAATTGTTGCTATTCCTATTGTGGTATTCAACTACATGAACAAGGATGTGGAGGCAGATGTTACATTGGAGAATGAACAGCTGGATAATTTTGAATTTGCTGAAGTTTCCAATGATGTCAATGAACAACCTAGTAAGTGCTCTTATGGTAATGGCAGTAAATATTACCAAGTTGGATTCAAAATTCTTACAGCAGGGATTATGGAGAATTCTATCCTCTTTGTAGTCCAGTGAAAGGAAACCAGCATTTCTGAGGAACACATCACCTCCCATCTTCTGGGTCAGAGAGTAAGCAAGCAAGAAACTGACATGAAGCAGTTTACTATTTGACCCTGAAGATGGAAGTGGTGTGTTCCTTTGAAACACTAGTTAACTTTCAATAATGTTATATTTTAGCGTCCTGTTGCACTGATTTAAGTCCATGATTTATTTCAACCGTCTTCCAGTGCATACACTCATCTATCTCACTCCTCTATCTCGCACTACATGTTTCGGCACAAAAGTGCCATCTTCAGGTGCTTATTCGATTTACGATAAACTAGTTCACTGCATGCCTTGCCGTCTTCATATTAAAATAACTAAAATATATATTTATCATATATATTGATAAATATTAAATATTAAAATTGTTCAGGATTTTTCATCCCTACGTCGTATCTCACTACGCGAGTCACACCTATCCTCTTCTGTCGGAGCACTCTTTCTACTTTCGTGTGTGTATCTGTAACGTGAATTTGTTATTCATTAATACTGCGTTCCGTATTTTATTTATTACTTGTGGTATTATAATTTTTAATACGCACTGTGCTCTGTGTTGTGTCTTGCTCCTGTGACTGCGTGTGTTATACTGCTGGGCCTGCTGGGTATGTGTGTGTGTGCTGTCTTCGTTTTGATTGAGTTATGATGTTGTAGGCGTAGATGTGGTGGGGTGTTGTTATGTTCTGTGTAGGTAGTGTTTAATTCGTGGTATATTGGGTTATATATTTCTTTATTTATATTATTCATGTGTGTGTTTTTCTTTGTCGTTCTATATATATGGTAGTTCTCCAATGTGTTCAAGTATTGCCCCTTCCTACCTGTTGCTATGATATCCATAGTGTTTTCTATAGTACCATATGCATGTCCTGTGTTTAATATGTGTTCTGAGTATCCTGTACTGCTGT